AAAAAAAAAAGAAAGAGAGAGAGACCAGAGGCCTGTTGCGTCTTTTCCCCTTTAGTCGATTGCAAACCGACCTGCGCACTGAGGAAAACCTCAGACCGTTGAAAGTGTTCCTGTTTAGTTCGTTGTCACCGTGGCGGTCATGCCATGTTCATGGTCATGGTCATGGCCGCGTTCTGCTCACTGTATCATGCTCGTGGTCAAGGTCAAGGTCTGTTCATGGTCTCGGTAATGGCCGCGTTCTGCTCAATGTATCATGCCCATGGTCATGACCCAGATGCTCTCTGTGGTGTTGGGCACCCTTGCTCCCCGGAGGTCCCTGCTGGCATGTTTTGTTGAGTAAAATTCCAATTTCACAGGAGGTTCCCATGAGCAGCAGAGCTGGGAAGCGAGGTCTGTGTCCCCCCCAGGGACCCCTGTTGGGGAGACCCTTGGTTGTCATAAGATGCGAGCTGATGTTCTTCCAGGGGTCTGTCCACATGGCGTGGGGGATCAGGATCGGGCTGTCACTGGAAAGTCCCCCGTCTGAGCCCACCAACTGCTCCGAGGGAGAAGGCTGAGGCCGCCTGCTCCCGTGAGGCTCTGTACTAGGCTTGGAGGGCCGATGGGGCAGTGTTTGTGGGACGATGCAGTGCTCTGTCCCGCAGAGTCTCTGGGATGGAGCATCCATTTGTCACGCGGACTCCCCGTGCCCAGAGGCCCTTTGTTCTGCGCCGGGATCTTCCGGTCTCCCGGGGACGGGGTCAAGGTGAGGGATGCTGCGGAATGCCCTCTGCCGGGCTCCATGGTGAGACGGGGCTGGTGGACGGTGGAAGGAGAACACTACAGAGGTGAAGGACCTCCACTGGAATGACCTTGAGCCCCACAGCCACACAGGAAGGTCGGGAGCCGCAGTCCCTCCTGGCGTCCCCCTGACTGGATCGTATGGAGGCTTCTGTTCGGAGATCGGGGCCTGGGTTGGACAGTGGGCTAACCATTGGACTGCTCACCCATCACCCAAAGGTGGGCAATTCAAACTCACCAGCCACTCCAAGGGAAAAAGATGAGGCTGTCTGCTCCCGGCAGCATTTACAGTCTCGGAAACCCACAGGGGCAGTTCTCCTCTGTCCGGCAGGGTCTCTGTGAGTTGGAGGGCAGTGGTGTCCAGGAGGCTTGAGGACATGGCTCTTCTTGCACTGGCTCTTGCATTCGGTCACCCACTTAGACCACTGTGGCCTCAGAGATTCCTACTGCGTGTGCGCTGGGTTAAATTTTAAAATACTCGACTGAGAGGTAGTCGGTTCATGTGTCCCTTCCAGCCTTAATCCTGAGGGAGCCCTGGTGGCACAGGGGTTATGCGCCGGGCTGCTAGCAACAGGGTCAGCAGCTCAAAACCACCAGCCGCTCTGTGGGAGGAAGAGGAGGCTTTCTGGTCCCATAGAGATCGTCTCAAACCACAGGGGGCAGTTCTACCTTGCCCTACAGGGTGGCCAGGGGTCAGAACCCGATCAGTGGCAGGGAGTGGGGCTTGTAGCCCTAACACTTCACGTGCGATGAATTCTACCCCCTGTGTCCCATTTTGGAGGGTGTGCCCGGTTTCACCGCGATGGGAGAGCAGAAGGTAGGGTCTGCCGGAAGACTACAAACCCACCTGTGTCAAAGGCATCCCTCTGTGTGCAAGGACCCTCTCGGACACAGAGGGGGATCTCAGGACCCTCGGAATGAGAGCTACTGGTGGGGCACTTCAAGCTCTCCGTCTGACGCAGTGGAGGCTGCGACCAGAGGCACAGAGGCCATGAGACAGAGCCAAGGAGCAGCACATAGACTAGGAGTCCGTGAGCAGCCGTCTGACTTCCTGGGCCACAGAGTCGGAGGCCAAGAGGCCACACGGCGAAAAGACTGAGGATGAGGGAGAGCGGCGCGGCTGCCGGCTCAAGAGCGGTGTTCCTGTGGGCCCGTGACCGCACGTGGTCGCGGTGATCTGCTAGGGGCCTCAGCTGTTATTGTGAGGTGCCGTCGAGCTGGCGCTGACTCACGGCGACCCGATGCACAGTAGATGGACATGCTGCCCAGCCCTGCACCGGGCTCGCGGTCGTTACGTTGGAGACCAGAGATGCGCCCACTGTGCCCATCGTCTTGTGGACGGTCTTATTTCCCACGGCCTGCCTGCACTTTCCCTAGTAAACACGCTATGGCAAGCATTATCTGTGAGCTCTGCGTGCTCACGGTAAGGAAGGACGGTGCCCAGCACGGAAGTAGAGCGCCGTGGAAGGGACAGTGGGTGTCCGAATAGGGTCAAGAAGGGCGGAGGGTGACCCCTGTGAGAGAGAAGCCGGAGGAGCTCGGCGATGGCCCTTCATGCTGTGTAACAATGATGCCGTGACGGCTCGGAGCCCGTCGGCGAGGGCTGAGGATTCGGGACGCTCAGCCTCCCGGCCTTACTTTGGAGCTCCCAGAGGATGAGTCTCCTCAGCTCTGCTCTGAGTGTCTGTGCTCTCAGGCCTGGGTGCTCCTGTGTGCCAGCAGTCTGAGACACCCAGGAAGACGCCTGAGGAGCACACCTCAGCGAAGGCACCGAGGTCAGGTCCACGTGGGGAAGTTATGTGACAGACAGCAGGCTCCTCAATTCAATGACGGGTCAGGGAGGCAGCTCCCCTCTGGGTTCCCCTCCCCAGTTCATCAGGCCCACTGTGACCACTGCTCCATGCAGGGTGTCCCTGCGCACAGCACACAGCTGAAGGTTGGGAGTGGGGCGGCTCTGCGCGTTGGCCGGGATTCTTCCGCAGGGAGGCTTGTCTCCCCCGCACTCCCACTGACTTCCTCATTTGGTCTCTGAGGCCTTTCTGAGCACACAGGCCCTGAGCCGAACCAGCGGCAGGCTAGGGAACCACGAGGGACCTGGGGGCACTGGCAACTTGGGGTGTCGTCCAGGGATGGTGCCGAGGACTGTGCCCATTTGCACAAGTGGGGTGTCCTCGTAAAACAGCACACACACATTGCCCATGGAGTCGGTTCCCACTCATGGCGACCCCGTCGGACGGGGTAGGACTGCCCTGTGAGTTTCAGAGACTGTAACTCTTCACAGGAGTAGAAGATTCCGCTTTCTCCCTCTGAGCGGCGAGTGCCTTCAAACTGCTGACCTTGCAGTTGGCAGCCCAGCCCGTCACCCCTGGGCCGCTAGAGTTCCTTCGTCCTAGTAAAGGTCATCGAGAGAGTGGCCGATGTAGCTTTGCTGGGGTGTGAGATTTTAGCAGCAACCACTTAAAGACCAGCTCCGGTGCGCAAGCAATTCCTCTGAGAAGTGGCTGGGTCCTTTCCACGGTCGCAACAAAGTGGGTCCTGTGCATCTTTTGGTGGCCCGGCGGGGGAACAGGTGAGCGAGGGGGCACAGAGAGAGGAGACAAGGTGAGCCGGGGCTGCTGGGAAAGTGGCGCTGCCTGATGCGCCGGCTGTGGGGCGGCCACAAGCCTGCCCTTTGTCAAAGGTGCAGACTCCGAAGTGGAAGAAAGGGAGGGGGCGCCACAGACCGAGGCCAGCCTGGACAGCAGCCTTTCTTTTTTTTTTTTTATGTATCAAAAAAACCTCACGGGATTTTATTTCATAGGTTAGAGGTTCAGTGCCATGGTTTCATGGGATATCCCAATTAATTGGCTTAATAACATGTGTAGTCCCTTTGTTCTACCTAGTAGTTCGATGTGTTGTATCTGGGCTTTTTTTTTTTTTCTTTCTTTCTCTTCTCTTTTTTAACATTTTATTAGGGGCTCATACATCTGTTATCCCAATCCATACACACATCAATTGTGTAAAGCGCATTTGTACATCGTTTCTCAAAACATTTTCTCTCCGCTTAAACCCCCGACATTAGGTCCTCATTTTTCCCCTCCCTCCCCGCCCCCCCCTCCCGCATGAGCCCTTGATAGTTTATAAATGGGTATTTTGTCATATCTTGCCCTGTCCGACGTCTCCCTTCATCCACTTTTCGGTTGTCTGTCCCCCAGGGAGGAGGTCACACACAGTTCCATGTAATCGGTTCCCTCTTTCCTACCCATTCTCCCTTTACCCTCCCTGTTTTGCCACTCACACCACTGGTCCTATAGGGCTCATCCGTCCTGGATTCCCTGTATTTCCAGTTCCTATCTGTACCAGTGTACCTCCTCTGGTCTAGCCAGTCTTGCAAGACAGAATTCGAGTCATGGTAGTGGGAGGGACAGCAGCCTTTCATCTCGCCCCACGGGACCCGCTGGGTTTGGCCGGCACGCCCCTCCCAGATGACTGTTCTACAGCGGCACAGGGCCTTCCGGGCACGGCAGGGCGCGCAGGGGGCTGTGGTCTGTGAGTGATGCTCCGGGTTAAGTGGCCTGTCCCTCGCCCTCACGATCTGTCGTGGACGCCACCGTGCCTGCATCTATCGTCCCACTTGGGAGTGGGTTTTCTTTGTCACCTTCCTGAGACAAGGATCAGCGTGTGCGTGTGTCTGAAATCGATCTCTTTTGAAAGAGGAAAGAGAGGTAAGACAGACACCAGAGGTGCAGGAGCGAGAAGCCCATGCCACAGGAAGCCGGCCAGGGAGCAGAGAGCGGGACAGGACCCTCCCCCTAGCACGGACACACCGAGGGGGCCTTCCCCTCCAACAGGCGTCCCGCACTCAGACTGGGGGCCTCTGAGATGGCGAGAGACTACATCTCGGTTTGCTAAAGCCGCCCAACCACAGGCTTTCTGCCGCAGCAAGACTCTGTAACCAAGACAGACCGTCCAGCCAGACAGGGAGGGGACCCCGATGCCGGCTGTGGGGTGGGTGAATATTGGGGATGTAGTGCGGGGTGAAACGAGCCAGACAACAGGGCAGTTACCGTCTGGTCTCAGCCACATGAGGCATCTAGAACAGGTGCGTGGAGACGGAAAGTTGAGCATCAGGTCACTGGGACTGGGCAGTGATTGGTTGATCGGGGCGGGGTTTCTGTTTAGGGGATGAAGACTTTAGAGATGCACAGCGGGGATGGTTGCACTACATGGAAAACGTGATCAGTGTTGCTGAATTGACCGTGTAAACCTAGTTAAAATGACTTTTTCACCCCTTTCTTTCTTGGTTAGGTTTGACCAGCCTTCAGGATGGATAGCAGCTCAATCTCAAAAGAAGCTGCAGCCTCCTAACTGGCCCCGTGACCAGCATCATGATGCGTGGAGAAGAGCTGGAGGTTGGCAAGGGTTTCACTTTCCTTAGATCCATGCCCGTGAGAGCAGCCGTCAGGGACACACACGGGGCCCTACGCTGGGCAACCCTGGGGCAGGAGCAAAGAGGTCGATTTGAAGGTGAAGGTGGGCCTGACCCCAGCGCCCTCGTCTGTCTGTGGAAGCTGGACAAGGGAGAAGGAAGCCCGGGGAAGAATGGGTGCCTTGAGCAACAGTGCTGGGAAGAACATCGCCGGCCCCACAGACTGAGAACAACCGACCAATCTGTGACCGGGACGCTCCGCAGAAGCAGAAAAAGGAGACTTCGTCTCCAGTACTTGGGTCGTGTCAGCAGGAGGAACCAGGCCTGGAGGAAGACTTCATGCTTGGTAAAGTCAGTCCGAGAAGAAGAGGAAGCCCCTCCGTGAGACGGATGGACACAGTGGCTGCTACAATGGGCTCCAGCACACAAGGCCTGTGAGCATGGCCCCGGACTCGTGTTTCATTCTGCTGAGCATGGCCAACCAGAACCACACCCTCTCAACTGCGATGAGACCAGCACCATTAGCACTACCCCTACCCTGCCTCCTCCTCCTTCTGCTCCACCACCACTCCCTTCTCCCCCTCCACCATCACCATCTTTTCCACTGCTACCACCTCCAATACCACCACCACCTTTTTCCCATTGCCATCAGCACCTCTTCCACCATCCCCAGCCTCTTCTCGAGTACCACCCCCCTTCCCCATCACCACGGCCATCACCACCACCACCTCTACCTCCATTACCACCACCTCTACCTCCATCACCACCACCTCTACCTCCATCACCACCACTACCTCCACCACCACCTCTACCTCCACCACCACCTCTACCTCCACCACCACCTCTACCTCCACCACCACCTCTACCTCCATCACCACCACCTCTACCTCCATCACCACCACCTCTACCTCCATCACCACCACCTCTACCTCCATCATCACCACCTCTACCTCCATCACCACCACTACCACCACTTCCTTCTCTATCAGTAACACCACCACCACTTCTTCCACCACCACCTCCTTCACCAACACCTCTACCACTACCTCCCACCACCACCACCACCACCACCACCACCTCTCCCATCACCCCTGCCACCAGCAGCCACTGTGTCAGGGAGCCAGCTGCTCACCCTGTCTGCAGACACCAGGCAGTTCCCATTAGTGCTCCAGGCGAGGACGGTGATCTCAGCGGTGTGTGTTGGGGGCACCGAGTGCTGCTCCTTGTCCTGCTTGTTGAACATGACCACCTCCCCTGTCTCCCAGCCAATGGCCAGGACCAGCCGCGTTGGGTGCCAGCTCAGGGTAGTCACTTGGCATGCCCGTTCGATGTGCGAGTCAGGTACGCATTCACCCTGCGTGGGCGAAAGGAAACCCCTTTGAGGACAGTGGCAGCTGCTCAACGTGTTTTGGAAAGAGCGAGACTAGAGCTTGGGGAGCTCTCTCTCTCTCTCATACACACACATACACAGACACACAGACACACCACATCATACACACGCCACATGTGAATATCACACACATCATACACACGCTACATACAAGCCACATGGACACATAGCAAGGCGCACACACCCACAGACCGCATACCCAGCACACAGATATCAAACAAACCGCACACTCATCCCAGAGCATCACACACACCATACATACCTCACATATCACATGTACACACACCACATACCCAGCGCACACACATCACACAAACCACTTTGCATACATGCATGTTATACACACGCGCATACATGCACAATACACCCCACATGCACAAAGGCTTACACAGCACACACAGGCACACCCACCCCAAATGGACCCCATACCCGCCTACGTGACACCCACCTCACGCCACAATCCCCAACAGAGAAGGAACAGGTGCAGGTGCTCAGCGTACTCACTTGCTCCAGATAAATGTCCATGCTGCCACCCACAGTGGTGCTGGCAGAGGCCACGGCCAGGAAGGGGTGGACAGGGTGCCAGCTGATGAGGGAGGCTGCGCCGGTCGACTCAGGGGCCTCGATGCGGTGATCAACGTAGAGAGCCATGACAACACCCGGTCTCAGGGGACCCCTGCTGGGGATGAAAACCACCCAGCCCTGTGGCTCTGAACAACACCAGCCAAGCCCCTGGAGCTGGGACTCAGAGAGAAAGGCTGATGGCACGGCGGCCAAGCGCTGGCGAGGCCCCCAGCAGCTCCGTGGGAGCAAGGTGCTCTGTCCCTGCAGAGGTCAAGCCCACTCCCATCAAGCTGGCTCTGACGCATCACGTCCCTCGGACAGAGAAGGGCTGTCGCAGAGGGATCCCGAGACTGTGCACCTATGCCGGAGCAGACAGCCTCATCTTTCTCCTATGGAACAGCGGGTGGATTTGAACCACTGCCCCCGCAGCTAGCAGCACAGTGCTGAATTACTGGCTCCACCAAACCTAAAAACCAACTAACCAACCCATTGCCACGGTGTCAATTCCTACTTAGAGCCACTCAACAGGACTGCGGAGAACTGCCCTAGGGGGGTCCCAAGGCTGCAAGTCTTTATGGTCAAAGCTCTCCTGAGGAGCAGCTGGTGGGCTCAAACCAGTGACCTTCAGGGCTGGCCGCCCAGCACGGAATCCACCATGTTGCCAAGGTTCCTGGAAAAATGACCTCCTAGAAAGCCCACGGGGGCAGTCCTGCTCTGCCACACCCAGTCGCTGTGAGTCCCAAGTGACTCCGTGGCACGCAGAAGAACAACAGAACCGAGAGAGGAAAACATCACCCCGTTAGCATCCTCAGCCCTTGGGCAGCTTCCAACGCCCTGCAGACTGACACAGGCAGAGGAAACCTCCACTCGGTGGGCTGAGATGGCCAGAGCTGAGTGACCCAGGGTGTGCAGGGCAAGAAGGGCAGGCTAGGACAAGAAGGGGCAAGGCTCTGCGGTCTGGACGCCACCACCCACCCGGAGACCTTGAGGGGTTTTACGTCAATCATAGCAAAGACCATTGGGTTGCGGGAGGACACCACTTCTGCTGGGCTGCTAACCCCGAGGTTGGCAGTTTGAACCCACCCAGAGGCCCCTTGGAGAGAGACCTGGTGATCTACTTCTGAAAGGTCCCAGTCAAGGAAGCCCTACTGACAGGAGTGCTGCATGCTGCCCGCTACCACGCCCAACGGCTCTGAACAGGGCCACGCTGGGAAAGCGTGGGGAAACAGGGAGACAACACCTAAAATAAAGAGAGACCAGGCTTCCTGATTGGAGAGAGACTGACGAGACTCCACTCCGCCTCCCCTTCGCCACCGTTCAGGTCTGGAAATGAACTCATCACCCCAAGTTGGAAGAGTCCCTCATTTCCGATCTAAAGGGTGGTGTGTCCCCAGGACAAGGTGCAGAGGAGAGGAGGAGGTGCACAAACAGGAAACACAGGGAGGAAGTGGGCTGCGCGATGGAATATCCTGGGGACGGTGACAGTGGAGGACAGGAAGCACCTTATGTAGGAAGCTTTGGATGCAAAGTGTACTAAGGTGTACTCTAAATCTTCACCTAATTCTACTCTTTGGCCCCAGGGGGTTACTGAGCGACTAAGACTGCTCTCTGAAGGGCAACGGGCTCGATCTGAGCCTTTTGTGTTTCCATAGCTTATGGTCAGGTCAGAGTTCCAAAGGCCAATAGAACATCCTTGGATCCACAGGATGACCCAGAGCAGTGCCTGGTTTCATTTAAAAAAAAAAAATTAATTAAATACTTTTATTGGGGGCTCTTACATCTCTTATCACAATCCAGACATCATCCAGTGTGTCAAGCACATTTGCACATGTGCCACCATCATCCTTTTCAAAGCACGCTCTTCCCACTTGAGCCCGATATCAGCTCTCCATTTCTTCCCCCTCCCTCCACCGCCCGGCCTCCCTCAAGAACCCTGGATAAATTATAGACGATGATTATTTCCATATCTTACATCATCCTCAATTGCCCCTCATCCACTTTTCCATTGTTCATCACCTGGGAGGGGATTATAGATGGATTCATGGGATCGATTCCCCCTTGCTCCCCCCCACCCTCCCCTAATCCTCCCGGTATCTCTACTTTCATTGTTGGCCCTGAGGGGTTTATCTATCCTGGATTCCCTGTGTTGTGGGCTCTTATCTGTAGTAGTGTGCACGCTCTGGTCTAATCTAATTTGTAAGGTAGAACTGAGGTCATGATAGTGGGGGGAAGGAAGCACCAAAGAACTAGAGGAAACGTGTGTGTTTCAGCAATCGTGCCGGGTGGATGAGCATCACAGAATGCCGGATTGTTAGAACAAAGTGTTCTTGTGTTGATGGAGTACTTGAGCAGAGGCCCAATGTCCACCTGCAACCTTAATTCTTAACATATAGAAATGAGTACATAGTTCTGTTCCCCACATATATATATTTACATATGTACATACCTGTATTTAGACCTCTATGAATTTCCTTTATCTCCTGGTTCTTTCCTCTATTTCCTTTTACTTTCCTCTTGTCTCACCATCATGCTTGGCCTTCATTCGGGTTCAGTAATTCCTCACTGCTACATTGCCCTTGATTAAGCCCCACTAGGCACCCTACGTCCTTCTCTCCGTTGACTTTAGTTCACTTGTTGTTCCCAGCACCTGGTTTCTGATGGAGCAGGAAGACCATGACCTCGTTCCTCCTGGCAGAAGGTGGGAGCCCCATTACAGCCCAGAATACAAAGCCAGGCTAGCCAAACTCTCCCTCTTCCCTTTAAACCTGGGGACGACTCGTGTGCACTGTTCTTTCTCTGGCAGCATGGTGGTATAGAGGTTAAAGTGCTTGGCTGCAATAGAAAAAGTGGCAGTTCCAGCCCACCAGCTGTTCCTCAGGAGAAAGATGAGGCTGTCTGAAGACGTGAATGCAACATACCGACATGAAGCAGGGGGCTGGTGCAGAGGTCTGAGGGGCCGGCCCCAATCCCAACTGTGTGGACAGCTGTCCCTACCCCCAGAAGACTTCACTTCAGAGGACAGCACTGAAGCTACAGCTCAGGGAGAGGGACGCGTCCAATCAGAGCACACAGGAGCAAACGAAGGGGGAGGAAGAGAAAGTGGAGCACATCCTGGCCCACCAAGCCTTGAGGACCATGTCCCTGCTCAGAACAGCCAATGCACAGACAGGACCATAGCATCAGCCCCACTACAAGACACGACATCCCTCACTGACCCATAGTGTTACTGGGGCCAACACTGGAGACAGAGTGTGGGAATTGTGTCCGATCTGACCCCACAATACCAGAACACAAAGGGCGCACAACAGAACAGCAAGGGGGGCAAAGCAATGAAGTCCCCAGGGAATACAAAAAACAGACTGTGGGGCCAGGGTGTGGCACCCCATCAGACTCAACCAGAAAACACTCCTAAAGGTCAACAAACAGACCTGGAACTATTTATAGGCTTTTCTTTTGGTGTCAGGTGTTTTTTGGTTGTTTTGTCTTGCTCTGTCTTGTTTTTGTGCTTATTATTGTCTCTGCATGTGGGAGTGGGAGGTGGGGGAAAGGAAGTGGGTGTTAACAAACCCAGGGACAAGGGAACAACAGGTGATCCAAAA